TCATTCAGCCTGCCTTGACTCCTTCCTGTCATGCATTGGGAGACAGGACTGACTGGGTTTATCTGGTGGATGCCAGCTGCAAAGAAATGCCTCAGCAAGTGGATCTTTATCATGGTATGATTAATCCATAAGATTTGTTCTAGCATTTCTTGTGCATAGCAGGACTAAGAGCAAATCACTGGGATTCTTTTAAACTCCTGAAAAATGTTACCAAGTGTGATTCTAGTCAACAATTGCAACAGCAAGAAAGAACTTATGTTGTTTTTATGTGAACTGTGCCACCTTCTGCTGTTTTCAAGAATGTGTGGAAGTGAAAAGACAATGAAGGTGAAGCTGATCCCAGAACTCAGAATCCAGAACTAATCACTATAATCACTTATACAGATTCTTGATGTTGCTTTTCAATTGCTGAAAATAGTCTGATTTATGGATTTACACTTTTCTGGAAGCATTAATTGTGCTTCCTGCCCACAAAACACTGCCCATACAGGAATTATAGATGAAAGTTTGAACTGAAGATTTGAATTTGCTATTCATGTATCTCATGAATGTACCAAAGAACTCTATATTCCTACAAATTGTCTTGATGTTTTTTGACATGACAGATATGAGAGAGAATTACAGCATCATAATTACAGCTGCACACACACTGTGATGGTAATAGGTACCTTATAAATATCTGGGATAGATTAGATTAGATTAGATTAGATTAGAAACATTTGCAGATGAACACTTTGAGGAAATGATGAGCACATGCAAAATTCAGGAGGGCCTCATCTCTGAGTACATATATTTATTCTACACATTGGGATTCTCAACACCCCACCTAGCAAAGTGTCATTTACTCTAGGATGGAATGAAATACCCTGTGGTTGCCTTCTCCTGCATTTTCATTGCTGCTGGCAGGTTTTGTGAGTCTCTTCTCACTTGTGTATTTGGAAGTTAAATTTAAAGAGATATGTTTTATTTGCATTTTTTGACAGAACAATGAAAAACTTTCAGCTACTCTTCAGTCCCATCTGAATATATCCACAGCAAGGTAATGAGGAATTGGGCTGCAGTTTGACATTTTATGTAATGCCTGAATTGAAATCTCAGGCTCACTACATCTCTGTCTCACTGGCAAATAAATAAATTAATTTCTAGTGCTAGAGGACTGACAGCACACTGTGGATGAAGTCCATGCTACAGAAAAAACAGGAGGGTGGAGAATGCTCATGACCATCCTATGCCATAATCACAAAATCATGCACATCTGAAGCCCTTTTTGTTGGACAGTACATGTGAAGCCTGCTTGGTGAACATCCAGATTGTATTCCCAGTATGATAACTGGGGGGGCTGATCCAAACCACAAAAAGTAATTTAGAGATTTTTATAAAACCCTGGGAATAATTTTTAGCATATTAAGATACATTTTCCAAAGGACTTCACTGAATTTATGGGAATGCAGATATCAATGGATGCTCATCATTACACTAAGAATTTCCTTTCATACATTTTTAGAGTGAAAATTTGACCACAGATAAACAGAAGAAAAAAAATAGGGATATTGTGTCATGTGTCTAATATCTCTCAGAGCTCCATGTCTGTTGCAATTAAGAAAACTCCACATGGTGTGTAAACATGTTAGCATTGGCATGAATCTTTTAGCCTGTTTTTTTTTCCCCTCACAAGAACTGAGAAATAATAGCAGGATACCTTTATGCTGCTCAGTCACTGTGAGGCACAGCACAGGGACATGGACTTCTACTGGCAGTGTCACACTATTTATCTGCTTAATTTCCATTATCTTTAATGAGAATTGCATGGATAAATCTCTGTGCTTATAAAAACTTAGGGCATCCTTCAATCTTGATTGCTCGCTAGCAGGAGCAATTCTTTCCTGCCTGGACACCAGAATGCAGAGCATATTCAAGCAGTGAGTTCTGCTTGGCAGCATGAGGGGCAACCACAGTGGATGTAAAGCTTCTCCAGAGCTCTCTGTGTCACACATGTACAGCAGCCCTGAACTCCACAAGCTGCAGTAGGAGCCCACTGTGAGCACGAGCACAGAGCAAGGGCCTTGCTAAGTTGTGAGTGCTGTGTCAGCCCTGCCATGGGGCTGTGTTAGATGTGAGACAAGGCAAAGCATAACAGGCTGTGGTGACACACAAGGAGTAGTGGCTTGTGCTTGTCCTTCTTGGTGAGACTTGGCCAGAGCTGGGAGAAAAGGAACAGCCTGGGCATACGTGAAGCACTGCCAGGATCCAGGGGCACTGGCAACCTTGCCAGCTCAGAAGGGTCACTCACCAAGAGGCCACCTGTGAACATTCTGTTCATGCACAGTGTCCAGCATGTGCCACATTCTCCTGTGGCCTTACAACCACAACCCTTGCTGCAGCACAGTGCCATGGGAAGATGAAGGACAAGAAACAGATGCAGCCACTGTATGTGACCAAGAGAGATGTTCAGGCTGCACCTTCAGTCAAAAGTCCTCAGGGGTGTCCCAGCAACTGATGAACAGCTTGAGCAGCAGGACCAGGACTGGGAGTCAGACCAGAGCAGCCTGCCCTTGGAAGTCTGGGTTTCCACCAAGTTGCCAGTTCAGTGAGTCCCAAAACCTCAGTTGAGACAAAGGTTCTTTCAGCCAGTTCTCTACAACCTAAATCTGCCAGAATGGATAAAGAACTCCAGTTGAAATATCTTTATGTTCAACAAAGGTCTTGCACCTGAATTAGTATCTCCAGAGACCATCAGACAGCACCATTTTCTGAAACAGTCTTACAAAATGCAGTAGAAAGTGCTGGCATCTATAGCAACTTTCCCAAAGCACTCTTCAGGCCAAATAAGGAATTTATTTTCAAAGAATCCCTCTGCAAAAGAATTCAGGTCACACAGTCTATAGAAAATATTTTGCTTCTAATTACTACTACACTGACTAGGCATAAAGAGTACTGCAACAATTACTGTTGTCTTTGCACACACTGGACTTTGTATTAGCACAGAGAAGAAAATACATGGAGAAAAAATACATAGAGAACACTGACAGAGTTGGGTGGATTGTTCTGGAGGATGTCTCTGCAGTAAAACTGAGCTCTGCCCAGGCCCAAAGCTGCATTTACTAAAGTCATGTAGCTGCTATCAACCCAAACTATTAAACCTGTCTACAAAGACGTGTGGATTCCCACTCACCCAGATTTGCAATAGGGTCAGTTCAGTCACACATTTGAGTGTCTGTGTTATTCAGAGGCAATTTATCTCACAGGCTGAGCCTGTATGGTCTAACCCACCACAACACCTAAAGGAAAAACATTCCTACAGCCCCACAATTTGGAAGCACACACATGTGCTTAACTCTGCTCCATGAGCATGGATATCCCTGTGTGGGACTGGAGCTTGCACACAGCAGGTTCTCTGTTTTCATGTGCAAGTTACAATCAATACTTCTGATTCAGAGTTACCATTTCTTTCTCCGTTTCCCCATCCCTGTTTCCTACAGTGGCTGTCCCTAAACTATCAGTCTGCAGCCATAGGCATCACATTGGGAACTAAGAGCTTTAAGCAGTGGTTTTTCCTCAGGAACATGGGTTACTGCCTTTGCACAGCAAGACAGAGTGGCAGTGACACAGAAGTAGGCATGGAGCAGTGTTTTCAAAATGCTTAGCTCCAGAACTTTCTCTTTTCATTATTTAATATTAGAAGTAATAGAGTTGCATTTGACTGACACACAGCCTTGGCTGCTCTTAAAGTCACACTACAAAAGCCTTAGCAAGTCATCTATTCTTTCCTCATGCTAGTATAAGGTTTTACCATACACTGCACCTTCAGTGTTTTGTCCAGCTAAGGTACAATGGAAGAAACAAAAGTTCTGCTCAATTTTCAGCCTTCTGAAAATATCTACTAAGCCTGAGAGGTGTACGACCTCCCAGCAGTGCTTCCCAAACACCCTGGTCCCAAACTAGGGGAAATAGGTTGTAATTTGTTTCTCCACATGATGTCTTTTCATACCTCACCCTTTTTCTCAGATCATTTGTCAAGAGTTCACTGATCTCTTCTTATTAGTTACAGGGACTACAAGAAGACAGAAAAAGAATGTTTGACCAAGCATATAATGAGTCATGGGTTTAATTTAGTTCCACCAGAATCTCAATGTGACCTTGAAACCTTCTAACACAATAAATCAGACCAGAGGGTATCAGCAGAAGGTGTCTGGCAGATCCCAGTGGATACTAACTCCGTGGGGTCTGCTTCGGGGGGCATCCCGACTAGGAGAAGCCCATTAAAGAGCCGTCTCGGTGTGGAGCCTGCTCTCCACGAAAGCCACCCGTGGGGCTCTGCTCCCGCGGAGGAAAAGCGGACACGGTCACCCAACCCGAGCTCGTCGGAAGGCACCGGAGCATGGCCCCACCGCCGGGCGCGGGTCCCGCGGGCCGCGGCTGCTCCGCGGGCGGGAGGGCAGCCCAAAGGGCGGGCGGGCTTCGAGCCCCGCGTCCGGGGTCGCCCCTGTCCGCGGCCCCCCGTGGCGGAGCGGCTCCACCCCGGCCGTGTCAGTCACGCCGCTGTGCCGGGCCGGGCCGGGCGGCGGGCGCGGGGCGCGGGCGAGGAGGGGGCCGGGGCGGGGGCGGACCTGCTCACCCCGCCTCCCGCCGCCGCTCGCTGCCGCCGGGGCTGCGGGGCAGGACCCGCCGCCGAGCATCCTCCGGCCGCGGGGCCTCGCTGTGCTCCTCGCCGGGGCGGCAGGCGGTGGCAGGTGCCCCAGCCCGGGACCTTCCGGAGCGCCCACCCCGCAGCTCGGGCGTAGCGGATCCCTCCCTCTCCGCTCCCGTCCATCACTCGGGGGGTCGAGGGCTGGCGGCGGCAGGACCCCCTCCGCCCCCTGCTTGCCCCCCCCACTACCCAATCGAAGGGGCCACCTAAAAGCCGCGGGAGAAGATTATGGCAACGTGAGCGAGCAGCGGAGCCGCCTGGCCGGACCCCCCGTACCCGCGGAGCGGAGCGCGGAGCCGCGCGGTCGCCCCAGCCCGAGCGCTGTTCGCGGCGGTGTCCGAGCGGAGCGGAGCGGCCTCCAGCCCTGCCCCAGGTTTGTGAGCTTTGCTGTCCGAACGAGGCCCCGGGAAGGCGCGGTCCCGCTGCCGGAGCTACTGCCGAGGCCGCGGCACGGACAGCCCAGCGCGGGGACTCGACGTCTCCCGGGCGCTCCGTCTGTCCCGTTCCGCCGGTCCATGTCCCGCCGCCCCCTCGGGGCAGCGCCGGCACCTGGCCCGGCCCCGGGCAGGGGCAGCCCCGAGCCGAGCTCCCCTCCCGGCCCCGGGCGGGGCGGCGGGCGCTCCCCGGGCCGGCGACCACGGGGCGGCTGCTCTGTCAGAGCCGCGAGAGCGGAGCCCGCGGGGAGCCCCCGCCTGCGGCCACCTCCCGACGGCAGCGGGCGGACGCGCCGCGGGGATAAAGGCTCGGGAGGAGCGGAGGGACAGGGTTCAGAGTTCGCCTTGCGGGTGATGGAGGGAGCGCGGCCGTCGGGGCTGAGCTGTCTCCGCCGCTGCATCACCGCAGCCCCGGCCAGCTGCCCTCGGCACTGCCATTTTTGGATTTTGCGGGGTTTTTTCTCTAATCGTAAAACGTGGCGAGGCCGGATACCGCCTCTTGTAGTTAACAAGCCGGGCTCTTTGGAGGGAGAGGCGTTAAACAGAGCCCCTTCTGCTTTATTTCACTAAGTAATTAAAGTCATCCACGCTAAGTAAGGTGTGGATGACTTTAATTGTTTCTACAATGCAGAAAATACACCAATAATTAACAGGTTAATACTAACTGAGATTATTTAAATCCAGGAATATTTTTAGGACATTGCCTTTGGGGAAATAAAGGGAGTGTCCCAATAGTGAAAAGTATGTGTTTATATTTGGAGTAACAACAATGCAGAAATTAAAGAGAATTAAGAAAGACATCAAAAGTCTCCATCCCATTTCTGTTATTAACTCCTCCATCTCACATTACTGTGCAGCATTTCTAAAAACAAGCAGTCCAAGTTTTGTAATGTTCTTCCCTTTTCAAGACCTGACATTTAAAATGGGTCGATTTCTGAGCCTTTCTATTCCAGCTAACCAACCTAGCTAACAGATAAGGTGCTGTACGAAGGATAATTGTGCACCATTTATAATTATTGTCTGCTTAAGCAATCCCTAAGAAAGCTGAAATATTTAAACATTCACATTTCTGCTAGTCACAGTGATGTGCTACTGTTGTTCTGAATGCATGCATGATGTCCTGGGACTAAATTATGAGGTTTTAATGTTAAACAGGTTTTTAAAAGCATGTTTGGCTTCAAAAATGTCCTGTGTGATTTGAATATTGGAAAGAGAAAAATTACTTAAACCCTTCTTCTGAAATTGAAACATTATTCTCAACTTGCAAAATAAATGGAAAGTTATGTTTTGTTACTGAATAGGGACTTGCTTTAAAGAAGGGGTTTCTTTAAACATTTTCAGAGGCAATTTGCATTGTTTTGATTGAGCTTAACTGAGCACAGAGTAGTGGCACAGGTTTAGTTAGTTAAGGAAGATGTCCATTGTGGTTGTGGTTTGGGAATACAGAGAATTTTTGAACAATGAAGGTAATGAAGCCGCTGATAAAATCAGATCACACACCCTTTGTTACAGTATCCTAGGTCTCAACAGTCTTAACAGGAAGATCTTCATTTTGATGGCTTTTTAACTTACTGTTTAATTTCTTTTAAGTTATCCACCACTTTACTTATGCCTATGTAAATTATTATTTTTGCCTTGATTATCTGTAAGTTTGAACATATTTATATACAGTTCTGTTATTTACATGAAATCTGAAGAGGCCATATTAGTTTACAAAACAGACTGCTCATTTTTCCAATAGTGACTTTTTTTGGGGTTTTTAAGCTTCTGTAAAACTAATAGTGAATCCATATCAAGGCTTTTAAAATCATACCCAAATCTTTCCAACATTCTAAGTTATGGACAAGTGCACTCTGGGAAGATAACACTTTTGCAATGAATGTTTATAAGCATTGGAGCAGCAAAATAGTAGAATCTTAAGTTGGCTGGATTAAAAAAAAAATCTGCTTTAGTTAATTAGTTAATTATTTCCTTAAAATAATTCACTTGTTAAACCCTAGAAAAAGATAAACAGAATGGCACATGCAGCAAGTACAATACCAGCTCTGCACCACACAGAGAAGAATAAATTAAGCTTTGCTCCACATGCAGGATTTTGACATTAAAGATCCACAGGAATGAAGATGCCAAGTCATTCCCCCACTCTGCTCTCAGCTATCAAGGCAGCAGAAGGGTTAACTCTAGAAAAATTAATTCTACACAGTACCAGAACAATAGTGGTGGGGAGAGGGGCGAAGGGGAGAGCTGAATAGTGCTGGAAGCCTATTAGATGTGGTCAGGAGAACTCCCACTGCTGCAGCAGGGCCAGTGGCTCACCCTGAACAGGGATTTCCACAGGACCTGTACTCCAGGGACAACAAGGTTAACTTTAGGATGAAGCAAACATGTTGCAATTGACACCAAAGGTATCTCTAAAAGTGATGCTCTACAAGAACATAGCCCAAACCTGTTTCCTGGGAAAGAGAACTTTTGGGAATTTAGATTGCTTCCTTGCCAGATTGCTTTGAAATAAAATAAGGACATTTTTAGAAGGAATATCCAGTTTTCAGCTTTCATGAATAGGAATGTGGCCCTTTTTCCAAAAATTAAATTACCTGAAGGCAAAGCTGTTTCCATGAAAGGAAGATGCATGATAGAGATTTTTTTTTTTTTTTTTTTTTGTTCTGGCAGTTTAAGAATTCTGTGTGCTGGATGAAATAATTGAGTATCTTATAAGATTTTACTTTAATTAATATTTTTTCCCAACAGCTCAACATTCTCTTCTTGGAGGCTCTTTCTTTTCCTGTTGACGATAAAGATGGAAAGAAAGTGGATATTGGAGAATTTTCATTTTATCTTTTTTGGTGTGCTCTGTCTCCTTTTCATAGATGGAGGTAAACTAGAACAAGTAAAACGTAAGTAGACTTCAAACAAAGCTGTCACATTCACCTAAATTGGACATTTTCCTCCTATTTTCAGACTTGGTTCAGAAAAGAATGTCCCAAACCTTCTAACATTCTTCCTCCTTCTAATCCTGTATTTAGTGGAATCAGGCCACAGCTACACTTGGGGTACATTTTCCTGAAGCTGTACAGGTTATAGTGCATCATAAAGAACATAACACATCAGTTGGAAAATCTGTTTTATTTCAAATATCCTGAGTCAAGAGTGTGCTTAATTCTATTTAGTAACCTCTATAAACATATGACAGATTATCTGGATCTGTCCCATGTGTAAGACTATGGTGCTGAAGTTTTCAGCTAGTGTAAAGCTAGTCCAAGATTGTTCTGTTGTGTTGTAAAAACAACCTCAAATGAACTGGATTAGATTCTCAACATCCATTGAGAAAATTAAGAGTCTCTCTCTTAAAAAGCTGTCAAAAACTTGATGAGAAGAATTGAAAAGAATACAAACAAAATAAAGGGAGCATTTCTGTAAAGCCTGTCATCTGTGGGAGATGTTAACATATTTAAGAAATCATGGCAAGCAGGAATAGCTACCCAAATAAACCTAGGAGTTATTGACTGCTTCAGCCTTGTTAGTAGGTCTCTGGCATGCTCTCCCTACCTGCACAGGTTGGGTTTTGGCCTCCTTCTTACAAAAGACATTATTTGCCCTTAAAAATTTTTAGCCTCAGTATTAGCAGGTTCTGCTTCCAAGGAAGATGGGAGAAAAAAAAAGAGAATGAGTTTCAGAAAGGCCCTCTGCCCCACTGAACTCACAGAAAAACCATGTGCAGGAACCTTGTTCAAAGAAAGAACAGTGAGAAATTGCCAAACTCCAGCTGTCTGCTTTTTCACATCCTGTGTTCCATTTGTTATGCTCCTGTGTGAAGGGAAAACAGATCAGAGCTTCTACTAACAGTCCCTAGCTCTGGCTACTTTCTTCTAGCCCAGTGAATGTGAAGACTGTCCCTGGCTTGGATTAGCACATGGAAGATGGGTATGTTTTTAAGATATCCCGAAGTATCATCTATACTGTGGGTAATGAATTAAACTGTACTTGGATATCATTAAGATAACAGAAAGGAATTTCCACATGGAAGCACATGAGAAACACCCTTTTATTGTAGAGATCTGAGGTTTCAGTGTGAAACCATAGTGTGACAGGAAGGGATAGGACAATAATGTCTGACCTGTATGTGGATTTCTGCAAGTCTGTAACTGCAAGATCAGAAGTGCTTAGTGAACAAAAGATTTAAAATATTTTGAAAGCTGATGCATGAATTATTTCAGCATCTCTCTGTGGTACAACCTGGGATTTTCCTCAGTTGGACCAATTGCTTTGGTTTTGCAATGAAGAGATTTAGTTTCCTATAAGCCTGTTTGAGTGATCAGGCACTTAAATTTTCTTACCTAAACATGTGAAAGGATAAACTCACCTGTACAAAAGCCATTTAATCATCATTTCAGGAGTTGCAATTTTGGAAAAAAAAATGGGAGGCCATGCCATTTATTTTTGTTTGGAAGTTAAGTAAAAACAGCATGTGGAATTAAGGGTCTTTCTGTTCTGTAATTCTTCAGGAAAAGAAAAAGTAGTTTACAGAAAACTGCACATCTAAATATACTTCATAAAAATGGAATGGAAATTTTCATTCATAGCTCTTTCAATTTTTTACTGTTTTACAGATTCAGATACATACTGTGTGTTTCAAGATAAGAAATACCATGTAGGAGAAAGATGGCATCCTTATCTAGAACCGTATGGCCTTGTTTACTGCGTTAATTGTCTTTGCTCAGAGGTAGGACTGCTGAATTATTGATCCTACAACTCCTGCTTGCTTCATTGACTAGAATCCTTTCTCATGCAGCTAACATTTGACAAAGCCCAAACCTATTTTCACTAGTGGGTCGTGGTCAGGCTGCAGGAAATAGAGGCAGGTGGTCCTAGTGAAAGGAAAATATTAACAGAGAAGGCCAATACTGGCAAAAAATCCTTGCATAGCATAGACAAAACAACTCCTTAATTAGCAAGAAGCTTTGTGGATGCTGGGCATTACATCTCAACTGATCAGGCCCCACTACCTAAATATAATCCTTGCAGTTCCACCAATGTGGATGATTATGCTGAACCTGAATTTAGTACTTTGATCTATGTACACTGCCAACATCTTCCAGTCAAAGAATCTGCTGCCCTAAAGTGCTGAAGGAACAGGCTTAGATATCACTGTTAGTAAAAGTCAGTCAAAGAATGAGATAATGAAACATGAGAAAAGGTTGTGGGGAGCAGAGAGAATTGGATAGAACATGAAAGGGCTCCCATCAGTTGATGGCTGATGCAAAAACACAGCAGTCAGAGATCCCCACAGTATGTCAGATTCAGCTGGGAGGAGGCACAGAAATGAGGGCAGTTTATGTCCCTTAGAGTACTTTAAAATAAACAGTAAGGGATCTTAATCACTAACACATGAGACACTCCAGATGCTGAGTTCTGTCTGCTATATTTAATGAAGAATAAAGTATTCCTCGCTCTTTTCCCTCCCTGCAAGTGTAAAATATTGGGCCCCTGTGCAGCATTTGCTCTGAGGGAATCTGCTACTACAATTCAGTAGAGATGCACAAACAGTAGTCCCACAAGTTTAGCTGCAGAATGCAGCTGTGAGAGAAAAAACACTGTAGTAGGAAGGAAAGGAAAGTGTTTGTTTAGAGCAAAAAGGAGTTTCCACTCAACTTTTGCTGATGTATATGCCAAGTTGAAAACTCCCTCAGAGTTTGTGTGGAGTGAAACACTCATTAAATCACTGGAAGAATGTGTCATGGGTGGGGAAAAAATTAACTGTAAATCCTTGAGATCTGGATACAAATAAATGCTCAATGGTTTTTAGAGAGATGTTGGACAGTTTGGAGGGATGGGAAAGTGCCTGGTCAGCTCCTCTAGACAACAACATTGCTGGGACCCAGACACACCCACATACTATGAGACACCGAAAAACAGAGTCTGTTTTATTTTTTAACTTGGGTGTGGAAGACAAAGTGATAGTTCAGGGCAGCAGATTTAGTAAAGAAGGAAACTGCTTATGGTACTTTCCAGTACATGCAACTCAGAAGTGGACTGGACTTTATTCCCTTGTTTGCTATGTTTTACCTTTGGTGTGCCATGAGCATGCAAAATGTAACCTGGGATAATTTCAGCACTGAGGATGCTGAGGGATCTCTCAGATGTGACTCTTGTTGTCTAGAAGGAAGATGATTGCAAATAACAACTGTAGCATCCAACCACTCATTTGAGTTTTGTCCTGGCCAAAATCATGCCCTCAGAGCACTGATCTACCATGAAAGCTCCTGAAGCTTCATCAGTTTCATGAAGTTTCCTTCAGGAAACCCTCAACAATTTATAATTTTAGCAAAATAAAGGCATTAGAAAACATATTATGACATAGCACAAGCACAGGGCATAAACCTGACATATGACAGTGTAAAAGATGAAAGTGAAGTGTGCCACAGACAGCAAGTCAGAGAGATCTAAGTCAGAGATATGATTCCCTGGCAGGATCTGTAGAGAGTCTGATGCAGCAACTGATCCCCTTACACTGCAGAGAAAAGCAAAAAAATCCCCAGGGGTCTTTATGTCCAGTGTATCAAAATGTCTTTGCTGGCCACAGACACCGTGATCCACGTGATGTCTGCACAAAACAAGTCACATCAGCCAGGCAGCAGACAGAGATCTCTGCTCTGTCTCTAAACAGTCTGTCTGTCCATCCCCCCAGCACACACACTTCTGATGTTTAAGAAAAAGGCAAGGCAAATTAACTAAACAGAGGCCAAGTTATACAGCCTGGCACTAAAAAAAAAAGCTTTCCTGTTTTTGTGTGTGTATAGTATTGTATTTTTACAAGTTATAATTTACATACTTAAGCCAGAATAAAACTAAACATAATTCAGTGTTCTCACCCTGTTCCCCCTTCCTTTTACAACCCCTCCTCCCCTCCAGTTCATAGTGGAGCCTGTTGACTGTTACTGTCAAGTAAAATAGAGCACTCACAATTTGTCAGATCATTATTTTACTCCCTAAAATACAGTTTTTTAAAGCAGTTTTTTGCTGTGTTCACAGTCATATCTGCAGATCTCAGGCTGAATGACTGCTCTCCACCCTCAGCACTGCTAGCCCAGCTTTGGGAGAGAGATCATCCAACACTGTCTGGTACCTGATGCAGAAATGTGACCTTGGCCCTGGCTTAGAGAGACTGACCAGCACTTGGGTCGTGCTGTGGTGCTGGGGCTGTTCTCCCAGCTACCACTGTGAGTGCAGGTGTAAGATCAGTCTCACTAAGCACAGGATCAGGTAAAATGGCTCTGTCCTGAGGCACACAGTGGAGTCTGGCTGGCAGTGTGGAGCAGCAAAGTTGGCCTGCAGAATTTTATCACAGCTGACCATGCACAGCAAGTAAACATTCACCTCAGGAGATTCCACAGGACTTAAAATGAAAAAGAGTGAGGTCACAGAACAGGACAAGCCAGCAACATGGAGACAGGTCAGCAGGCAGTGCCAGCCCCTCTTCCACAGCAGTGCTTCACAGGCTCCCACGTCTGCTGGGCAAGCAGCTGTGCAGAGCAGGGATAGTCCCTGTTCTGTCAAGATCCTACAGTCTAAAATTTGCTCCTCTTCTACAAAATCAGTATATTTCATTTCAGTTCTTATTGGAAACAGATGGTGATAATCATGTTTAGTGTCTCTTTCCAAAGCAGATGCACAACTGTAGTTTGTGGCTAGCAATGATCTAACAGTAGGATTCCAGCCTGTGGTCTGCAGATATTTGTCAATGAATTATTTTGAAAGGGATGAATAGAAAAGCCTATACATCTGCTGTCTAGGGAACTCTGCACATCCACTGAAAACATTTCAGTGCTCCAGAAGGCATATGAAAATAAAGTAGGTTTAGTCCTGACACCACCTAAAACTACAGTCATAACTTAGTATCAATGTCCATGCTGAAAGATCTTTCTTGTTATAAATATGAGCAACTCAGAGGTAAATTAAGAGGATGAATTATAGATGGGAAATGGGAATTTGAAATGGATAGTCTTTTCTGGTTACAGACACTGGAGAATGAAAATTCCCTCTGTTTTAATTATAAATCAAACTTAGATGTGGTCAAATAGAATATTATGTTAATGACATGAATAATGAACCCTATTCCCAAGACTTAACTCATGTTTCTTAGAAAATGGCTACTTACCATCTGGGTTTTTTTGTCTACTGGGAAAGCAATAAAAGGAAAACAAAAGACTCTCCACAGTTTTCAGGAACAATTACAGATGCTATTGTCTCTTGTGGTCTTGAACTAACCCTCAGTAGGGGATATCTCAGAGATCTACCATTTATCCATGTCTTAGTTTTGGAAATGTAACTCCTAAGCATAATCTGCTCAAAAGAAAAAGACAAATGGAAAGAAAAAGAGAAATGGAGATCATTGCTGTCTATTTTTAGATACTTCCTCCAATTTTCAGGTTTTTAAGGATTTTTGACCTCCAGCATAAATTCAAAGGCAGTGGAAGTATCTGGGCATATCTCAGTGTGAGTGAAACCAGAATGTTGTAAAAAGGCTTTTAAAAAAAAAGTTTGGATGTAGAATAGAGAACACAGAAATTTGTAAGACAGTGCATTTCATTAAAATACTATGTACTATGTTCCATCTGCAGAATGGAAATGTTTTGTGCAGCAGAATAAGATGCCCAAGTCTACACTGTGCTTCCCCTGTGCATGTACCACAGCTGTGCTGCCCACGATGCCCAGGTAATTCATATTAGTGATAAATAGTCCTTTCTGAAATAGTTATTTAAAATGCTGAGTAACAGCAAAATTAAATATTTGTGCTGGAAAACCTTTGTGAAGTAAACATCCTCCGGTATCCATTCAGGTCATGAGAGGCTTGTCCTACAGTAAGTTACAGTATTTCCCATGGTGATTTTTATTTAGGAAATTAGAAGTATAGATTTTTGAAGGGATCAGGTAAGCTACCAAGTCCAATCCCTTACAATCCAGGCAGAAAGCAGCAGTCCTTTCAATGACTGTCCATTCCAGACTCCTTATCTCTAAACTCCATCACAATAAAACACCATCTCACAATTCCTAGGTTTCTGGTTTTGGTGCTTTTCATAAGAGCAGACCAAAATATATGGTTATTTGCAATGGCTGTCTGTTAACAAGCAAGTCAAAATTGCTTTGGCAAGTGTGCATTTGTATAGTGTCACTGTACAACCAGTCTGGCAACGTTTACCTTTTACATCTCAGGTCCAGGCATAGCTTCATAATTAGTAGAGACTGTTGTAAATCATAGAAGCAGTGCTGTGGAAGTTTATGACTATATAAATCCAATTGGATACTGTATAGTAAATTCTCCAGACTGTACATTTATTATATGCTCATTATTAAGAGCCACTGTATGAAAGAGACTAAGCAGGATCTTTCACAAGCCTGTTGCAGCATTCCCGACATGGCCTAATGGCTGGGAGATTGACCGGGGCTTTTCCCTAAATGCCTGTCTTAGTGGCACCCCACATTTCCAATTATAAAAGAGTATTCATGCAGCATCATAGAAAGGGGTTTTATTTGGCTTTCTCCAGAGTTAATTTGTCTGAGGAAAGCAGCTGTTCCCTGAGCACAGCCTGTCAGCAGGAGGCAGTAAGTGCACAAAGCCAGAGGGATGTGAGTGCACAAGAAGGTTCCTGTTCAGGTGGGATTGATGTGTTCACTGCACTTACTGGATAATAAATGGTATCCACACATCAGTTTTGGGTTGGATTCATCTGCCCTGACAATTGTTTACTCTCTCTATCAGATATGTGTATCAATATTTTGATCTAGGTATCCAGAATCCTTTTTTTTTAACCAGTGACAAGGAAGAACCATTTTGAGCTTATAACTCATCTGATGCTGTGATGCTGCTTTTGTGTCTAAGGATGAGATTGAGCCCATTCAACTTTAAATACAAGTCTTTGGAGTTGGAATGTCCAGTGGAATTTTCTTAAAACATCCATTGGAGTTTTCTCTATAATGGTCTACTATGTAGGAAAGAAAATTTCTAAGGCAAAATGCTTTCTTTGGCAAACTAGAACTTAGTAAAATAGTAAGGTGCTGGGAACACAAATCCCTCTTTTGTTTCCAGATCAAAAGAAGGACTGGTGTGCTGGTGTGCCCAAAATCTGGTCAGTTTTTCCAGCTAATCTAGGCTTCAGTTGGGAAGACAATAATCTAGATACCCTTTACAGCTGTTGGAAACATGAGGGTGATTCATCCTGTCACCCAGAATGAGAAGACTTTTTCCCAGGGAGACGCCTGTCACTCTCCACTGATTATTGAGGGAACACAGGAAAACTGGATGCTTACTTTTTGACAGCTTAAGTTAAATCACAAAAGTCCTATTCAATAATTGGCATTTTCAATCAGGAACTTTTTCTATTATTTTTTAGTATCTCTGTATTGTGTTTACTATAGAAACATAAATGCTTCTAGATTGATTGGTTTTGCTTGGCAATGAAATGTTTTGGCTTTTTTCTGTTCATCAGCTTGTAAATGTCATGATACCTATGAAGATTTTAAAACATGCCACAATGATCTAGTAAGGAAAAGTAAGGCCCCGTGTAAACTCTCATTTCCATTTTATCAAGTTTAGTTCTTCCTATTCATAGTCTTCAGCTGGAATTTTGTCCTCCATGTTTAAACTGATAAGTATGGAAAATTATTAGAATGAGTCTTTCTTGAATTGTGATCTATTATCTTCTCTTAGCTGTTCATAAAATCTGTTTTTAATCAATCTGCTATAAATGATGGGCCATTACATGCTAGCTGTGCACTATCTCATTAAAAATGTGAGTCCCACTAAGGTCTGTTTTTCCCCTGATTTAATCTGTAACAATGTTAGGTAAAAGAGAACCAGGAGTCTCCTGTGATTTCAGGGGTTATTTACATTCTGCTTTCTGCAGTGATTATGTGTATAATATTTGGTACTCTATCTTCAGTGGTAATTGTTCATGCCTGATCGAATAGGTATCTCAAGCATTCTTGCAGATCTTGTGCCAACTTTCCATTCCTATGTGTCCAGCATACAATGTCTTTTGTGCAACATCCCATGATATGCAGGAAATTCACTTCTCTGGTTTTCCTGGTTATTTTTTAATGAAATGTGTGAGAACTCTGGCCATTGGCCATCCATGTGAGTTTCTCTCATAAATGCTCATTATATTCTGTCACATATGGTTCCCCTCCATTTCTCAAGCTGCATTAGAGAAATGAGTAATGCTAGTCAGAGGGACCTGGGGCTCTTCTCTTGCCTCTCTGCAGGCCTTGTAGAGTGTAACTGCACAAATCACTGTCTCCTTATTTAATGAAGCAGAGGTAATGCCATGAGGCAGCATCTTGCATTGGACATTGAACTACTTAGCTACCTAAGTGAAGGAGCTGTTGAAAGGATTCCTTTGAGAAAAGTTGGCACTGCTCTCCCCCTGGAATTAATGTCTTCTGCATCCATAGTGACACTGGTCTCACTGACACAAAGAGATGCAGTGTTTGTATCCTGTCTCCCTGGCACCAGACATCATGAGTCTTAAGTAGTTTTCAGACATATGTTATGAAGGATCTTCTGCTTCCATCAGTGGTTCACCAGCTTCTACCACAGATTCCCTGCTAACCTTTCTTTTTAAAAATGTATTCTTTCTAGCATTGGCAAAATCCACACCTTGTTTCCTATACAGATCTAGGTGTTCCTTCCTTTTGCAGCTCTGAAAAGTATTTTACCATCTGAACTATATTCTTCTTATAATCACACATATGTAACCAAAAATCTAGGGTCACAGGAATTGAGGCTCTTTTTACACAACAGTGAGACTCAAAGGACATCACATGCTTCTGAGCTTGATCTCCTTCCTTCCACCTCAGGATGCTCCAGACATCAGAGGAGAGGGGATCTGTAGTCAGGGAGAGAATTCACCATCATTCTCAGATCTAGATCAGCTCATGACCTAAAGTGGACTTCGGAGCTTCTGCCTCCTGCCACGAAAATAAACTTCATGTCCAAGTTCTTTGGGCATTTAGCTGTGGCTGTCTTTTATGGCACTTCTATGGACAGTGCCTTCAAAGCTGGAGCATTTATTGTGGATTGTATCATTTCTACATTCAACAATTATAAATCAAAGTATTTGGAGTCTAGCTGAAGATCAAATATGTAAACCTAAGAAAAGCTTACATCAGAAGCAAAAATTCACAATTGCAGGATTCAGAAAAGGTTTCTACATTCCACTTGCTGGTTTGATTTCTCAGCAGATAAGGCTGCATGCTGATGTATGAATCAGCCCATCTGGCTCCAGTGTTTTCTAAGCTTGCTGCCCTGACTAAACACACTGCCTTCCAAGAACATTCATATTGCTAACATGTTTAAGTTTAAGCTCCTTTGGTACTATGGTTTTTCTTTATGAAATTCAAACCACTTTTCTGATGTACTTTTGTTCTTCTTTAGATACAGAAATGCAGGGTGTCACCTATATCCATAGCAGGTCTAAAGATGTACCAGATATGGTATCTCACAACAGTGGGCTGAGAACATCACCTGAAAATGAGTGAGGCTCTGTCTGCATGGTAGACAGCAGCATGACCCAGTAATACCTGAATCTTTGAAATGGCTATTTTAGATCCTGGGACAGTGCAGAACTCACTGCAAAACTTGCTGAAGAAGCAGGAAAAATGTGCCTGCCATGAGCTCAGTGCTACCTTCAGCAGTGCCTGAGCTGGTCCAGGCAACAGCCTACACTCTGCAGTATAGACAGACTCAGCATTGCAAGGTGCAGGGCATGTTGACCTGACAGACATTTTGTAAGTAAATACAGAACATGTGTGTAGTGCAGCACATCTTGCACTGAATTACAACCAAAATCTTCAACCCTTTCTGTTGGAATGCCCTGGTGGAGTGATTTTTCCATTGCAGAATACACACACATTAAACCATTTGGTGAAGAAGCTTTGGGTTCTCCCCACCTCATACACCAGAGCTCTCAGGCTTTTAGTTCTAACCTTCTTACCCTTCCATTCATGAACATTTTTGGCATGGAGGAAGGGATACTGTGCCCAGCTCTTCCATCCTCTATGCAACTCTGCTTGCTACCACCTACCCTTCTCATATCAGCAAGTGAGAGTCCTAACACTGGGTAGTTGTCAGATAGTTAAAGTTAACTTTTATTTGGAAGTAAATTTGTTTTAGAAATATAATGCTATAGGCATTCCAGGGAGACGTCTTTTTCTTATTGATATGTGCTTAGATAATTTTATTTGGTTTGTGATTTGCCTTTGTCACTACCTTCCTCAAGGAATGTTTGCTATCACAGCCAGATTGAGGTTATTGCTCATTTCCATTCTGCTTTTTTGACCATAATTTTTTAAAAAAAATCTATCTTTATATCAGCATCCAAAATGTATGTGAAAAAATACATATCTTCCCACATGGATGACAGAACTTCAATTCTTTGGACTGACATGATAGGATAGTATAAGCTGCTCAGAATTTTTCCAAGATAACTTCCAAGACCTTCAAAGAGACTTCAGAGAGGATTCAGAATGCACCAAAGCTTCATTTAATTTGTTTCCTCAGTGGTAGAGAGATTGGTGGATTCATATAATATTTTAACTTGAGAGCAGGAATTAAACTAGAGCAACCTAGAAAGTGTTTTATGAGCCCTTCAGAGTTTCTGGGCAATTGATAGGCAATTTTTTATGCAACTATAAAAGAAAACACAGGAAATTAATCT